TACATTTTGACACACATAAAAGTTAAAAATAACAAAATGTTATTTAACTCAAAGTTTTGGATTACTTTTTTTTGTTCCTTTGATATTTAATAGTATATATTATTTTTATACTTAAATCTACTTTAGACTCCTAAACTTATCGAAATTTTTACAAACTTCGTCTTTGTACAAATCCATTTATTACAAGACTGTGGACAGGACGATTGATTTCATGAAATTTAAAGATCCTATCGAGAAATCTATCCTTAAACTATTTTTCGATCAATCTGAAATATTTTTTTGGCCTATATATATATGTATCATAAATATTATCTAAATGTGAGTGACGAATACTATTAGGTGTTGGAATTAATTCGTAGCGTTTTACAAGTGATGGGAAGTACTTTCATTAATGTATTTTTTAATGCTCATGTGAAATAAATAACATTCTTTCATTAAAAACGCTACGAATTAATTCCAACACCTAATACTTTCAATTATTTCTCTGAATATTACATTTCGATGAAGTACCAAAGATCATATATATTGCTGATATAGAAAATGTAATATTATAATATTATTCGAAACTCAACGATTGAAACTGGAAATTCACGAGATTTGAAGCATTTATATACCTATTTATGTGATCGAAAAGATAGCTCAGATATCGAGATATATATACTTCAACGATAATAACGTTCAATATCACCGCGGGGCTACGTTCAATACTCGATTTCAATATCCGCGAACGAGGGCGTGCGTGTGCCCGATGTATGTTACAATTTTGTGCTGTTACTTCGATTTCGCCACGAAATCTCGCTCTCAAAATTGCCGCCGAAGCGTCGGCGTGGTTGACCCAGATATCAAGTTTGAACGAGCATTTTCTCATGCAATGAAATCGAAAGAAAGAGATTTCGAAACATGAAATTTCGAAAATTTCCGAAATGTTCCACGCTGATTACAGCAAACACACGCTGACGAAATTGTTGTTCGCAATAATGTATCGCGTAAACGGTACATCCGAGACATGTGAATTGATTTACTGCTGCCTGCATTGATTTTTGATACATTGCCTGAAAAAAGGCGATGACTGAGTTCAGCAAAAAAAGATTGTTGTAACAGTTTTACACACACACAACTGTTGTATAAAGATCTTTAATATGATTGGTTTATATATTTAGATCCAGTGAATTGAGAGGAATTAAAAGTAAGAATCAATTATAATGGCTGCGTTCAATAGAAAAAGCAACTTTGCAACTGTTGTAAGATTCTTGAATATGATTGTTTATACATTTAAATCCAGTGAGAAACTAAGAGCAAGACCAATCATATTAAAGAATTTTACAACAATTGCAAAGCTTTTTCTGCTGATTGAAATCATTGCCTGATGATCGCCAAGAAATTTTCCGGAGCGCATTTTGCTCAATCATTCGCGTGCACAAGTTCACAGAGTTCGTTTACGTGTTATTGATTTGCCGACGAATTATAGACGCGCTCGGCATGTTAGTTATGCTAATGTGTGTAATGCATGACGAAAGCACGATGTAAGCAGCGTCGAAACGTTATAGAACATAAAGTATCTTTCACAAATGGGAATTAGAGCCGGTGCAATGGTATTGTAATGCACAATTATTATATCACGATCATAAGGGAAAGACTCGCTGAATTATTAATTTACTGCAATCCTCGAACTTAATGTGCGGCAATGAAGAATTAACGCAGGCGACGAACCGGTTCTAATCGATTCAAATGTAAGCACGAAATAGAATAATAAACATAAAGGAAATGAAGTTGCTTTTCAGTGAGTTGTTAAAAGAATCTTTCTTTGCTGAAAATTCGTTTTCTAGATTTTCATCATATTTTCAATAGATGATGCTTTACATATTGAGAATAAAGTCCTTGACAAAAAAGAAATGCGACTGGTGGTTTTTGATTGATTTTGCTATTTCCTCTTCCTTAGATAGTAGTGGAAATTTGATTTCACTAAAGTAATTTTACGATCTATCAGTTCACAATATTTATTACTAAGCATTGCAATATTTTTATTTTTGTGTTTACTTAAATCGTTTCCTTCCAAATAAAATTTTTTTCAAATGAAATTTTTTCTTAAAAAATTTATATCCATGAATATATAAGTTGAAAAATAAGGGATGATAAATATAAAACACAGGCAATCATTTTTTCTTCAAATGATACATTGTCGATTGCGTTTTTCTCTTTATTTAGGATCCTAATTGAAAGAATCTTCTATCGTGTATTACCAATTTTTTGTATAAATGGTGTGCAAAAAATACGATTACTCGACAATACAAATGCAGTCGTAAAATGATATTACAAATTATTATGTTGACGTTACTAGAAGCGATTAAAATCGGTATAAATCCACGTGTTTAAATGTCTTACACCTAAAATTACTCATGTAAATTGCACACGCCCGTGTGCATCAGCCTGATCCTTACATAATTCTCATCACGTACCTACTCTCACGAAAGTTACATTCACGTCGCCAATTTCGTACCGATAAGTTCCTTCGAACATCGAGCATTAAACGTCGACACGAAGAAATCGATGGATTATTGTTACCGGACTGCATGCAGGAAGCTTTACTTCAAGTTCTGAAGTAACATTTTTCTCTCCACGAATTGTTCATTGCTCCGCAATCATCAATTAACGCTCGATTAACTCCGCTCAATATCCGCAGGAAGAAACCCGTTATTTTCTTCAGTCTTCGATTCAGGACGTATTTCACTAATCGTTAAACACCCGGTACATATCTGCGACCTATATTCATATCTCGCATTTTACCCTGAGTATATGTAAATAATTATCAGCTCGTGATAGAGCCCGCGCGCTAGAAAAAAGCAAATAGAGCTGCTTGTCGCTGAGCAGATAGGCAAATATGATGGGAGAATCCAGGGAGGGGAGGAGGGGGCCCTCGTATTTGTTTCCAGTTCGATTATTATTACACCATTGCGTGTGTATGTATGCATGTACGTATGTATGTATCAATGTACCGGTGCGCGGAAACGGGAAAAAAAAAAAGGTGAGCGTTGTGAACGGCGCTCGTTTGTTACGACGATCCGGCGACGTTTTCCGCCATGCCATTCATGCGCGTTGCACCCTGTTTACTGCTTCTCCTTTTTTTCCCCTCCCTTAACAACGACAGGAGAAACAAACGGCATCCCGTCCCGTGGACGATAGGTACAGTCGCGCGCGTGAATCCTCGCCGTTGTCGGCTCATTATCTCGATCGCCGATCGAGAATGGCGACGTTTATCAGACGAGCGAGATTTCCCGTCAGGAGGAGATACAGTGAGTTCCACTTTATTTTACTTCTCCGTGCCTTTTCTGGACAACGAAGGCAATCTTTTCCTGCCGCGAGTTATTACATTACCGAGTTCGGCGATCCATACACTGATTATTACTTATGCGAGTAATTAATAACCGGTCATTGATTGCACGCGAGTGATCTCCCTTACACGGTAGTGATTTTTCCTTTTCTCGCTTGTCTGGAGTAAGCGGAATCATTTTGCTCCGAAATGGACGGTCTCCGATTGCCGTCAAATTATTGGTGTTTATGGTGTTTGAACCGAACCTCTTTCACGAAGCAATCGGAGCTGCGATGTTCAACTTTCGAAGCCTTTCCTTTTTATATAAATTAATAACTATATTTAACAAAATAATCTGATAAAAATCATGTATATTATAGTTTTGTGTTTACAAAACGTTCAAAAGCATCAAGTGAGTATTCCTTACTCATATTACCTCTTCTCTCTAAAACTTTTAGGGTGAATCTCACTCCGAAGAGTGAAATCTCACTCTTAAAGATTGAAAATTGAGTCACTCTTTTTTAAGACTGGCTCAATTTTCTCTCTTTAGAGTGAGATTCAAAGAATTTAGAGAGTTAAATGCGAATATTTGAAAAATGCTTAAAAATCTCTTTTAATATGTAAGCTTAATTTTTTTCTATAATCGCAATATGTCTTTGAAATAATTTTAGAAATATATTTATTCCATTTAGAACCAGTCATCTTCGAATAAATTACGTGATAATTTATCTAATGGATAAACAAAAGAGTAGATAAGAGAGTAAGAGAGTAAGAGAGTGAAACTAAAATTTTTGTCAAAAGATGGAACAACTCAAGCCTTGATAAATTAAATAGAACTAAATAAACACTTCACTAATAAATGAAGTAATTTAGTTTTCTTAATTCTTTCCATCCCGTAATTATTTCGAACTATAATATAATTATAATATTTGACAAATAATACTTTTGACCAAGTAATGCTTTATTTATTTTCCAATATTTAAAGAGAGTCTCTGATAGAGGATACATTGATAAACAATTGCGCATCCATTGATTTTTCTCTCAAAAATTCAATACTAATTATTCATAATATACTTCCAGTTTCGGAACATTAAATAATTTATCGATTTATATATTTATATATTTTAAGAAAACTGTCTCCTTATCTCTTGGTGAGATAGAAACAATGCTGAGAACATCATGTAATCAACACATTTTTATGAGACTTTATTTCAATTGTATACAACATAAAAATTTCTGATTCAAAAAAAGAAAAAGAAGGTGTGCCGAAAGTACTCATATTGCGTGATTCTCTCCCTTCCCCTTCTTTCTCTTAACGTTTCTTATATATAATACACACGCCGCTTGTTACGTGATTCCGCACAATTGCATAATGAATTCTCCGACAACGAATGAATGTCAGATCCGGACCTTGATTCCCGCGACGATCCATAACTGTTATTTTATGATGTAAATCGACCGATTGACACACGTGGCTCAAATTTCGCTCCTGTTGTATTCAAATTAGAGGAAGGACTTATTTCACCAAATTTTCTTATAATCTATTATAATTAATTTTATTTATTAATATCGACTGATTTATTTGTACGCATATCCATCTTGATTTTTTTCCTCAATTTGTTCATATTCTATCACTTAACTTATGTACTTCAACGATCGAATTATTCACGTAGAGAAATGTTTTGTATTTCAGGTAAATCTCCGTTCTTCCCGAGTCTCGATGAGCAAGGGCTGGAGGATCCAAATGCGCCGAGCCAGTTGGACGGTGTCGGCGTTGGCGTCGGAGTAGGCGTCGGCGTCGGCGTGGGTGGCGGGATAACGGCGTCCCAAGCGGCGCCGCTCTCGTCGCCAAGTCGGAGCAGTCCGCACAGCCAGGGCAGCGAAACCGGCGAGCGTTTCTCGAGGAAAGTCTTCGTCGGCGGATTACCGCCTGACATTGATGAAGGTACGTAATTTATATCACCTAAGATTGATTATTGGCGGGACAAGACGTAACATAGTGACATAATCACAATGCATCTTCTCAATTCAGACGAGATCACAGCCAGTTTCCGCCGCTTTGGTCCGCTTGTTGTGGATTGGCCGCACAAGGCAGAAAGCAAATCCTACTTCCCTCCGAAGGGTTACGCATTTCTGCTGTTCCAGGTACGTTTTCGATTTTTTCCGCTTTCTTTTTATCTTCAAATTTTGTAAATTATAATAAAAATAAACTAACAGTAATTAAGAAAAAGACTGAAAATAAAAAGAAATTAATAAAACTTAATGATAATCAAATGTGCCATGCGATTATTTCAGGACGAGGGTTCGGTGCAACAGCTGATAGATGCCTGCATCCAAGACGAGGACAAGCTTTACCTTTGCGTGAGCTCGCCCACGATCAAGGACAAGCCCGTGCAGATCCGACCTTGGCGGCTCAGTGACGCCGACTTTGTGCTGGACGCCTCCATGCCGCTTGATCCGCGAAAGACAGTCTTTGTCGGCGGGGTGCCGCGGCCGCTCAAGGCAGTCGAGCTCGCGATGATCATGGATCGGCTTTATGGTGGTGTCTGTTATGCTGGCATCGATACCGATCCTGAGCTCAAGTATCCCAAAGGTGCCGGCAGAGTCGCCTTCAGTAATCAGCAAAGCTACATAGCTGCCATCTCAGCCAGATTCGTACAGCTGCAGCACGGCGATATTGACAAAAGGGTAAGTATGAAGAAGAAAAATCCTATTTTTTAAGGATTTACTTGAACGAATAACATCTCTAAACTCGGTATTTATGATTTGATCTTATTTCAAAGTCATTTTAAGTAATATCTTAAGATGGCTCTATAATAGTTCATGCTATCTTAAAATTGTACTTAAAACGTTCTTAAATATAAGAATGGATTATATGAATACCGGCCTAAATGAAGCAGGACAAGAATAGAAGATCTAATCCATGATTGGTAGAACTGTTTTAAAGATGGGACATCTTTACAAATTACGAACATTGTTCCTCAAGCATTCTTGTTCTAAATACTTTGAGAATTTCATTCACTTTCTCTAATCATATAATAATCTTTCGAATAGGTTGAAGTCAAACCATATGTTCTGGACGATCAGATGTGTGACGAATGTCAAGGCCAGCGTTGCGGAGGCAAATTTGCACCGTTCTTCTGCGCCAACGTCACCTGCCTACAGGTATATTTCATCACAATTGGCTCATCTTTATTAATAAATAGTGAAGGAAGCTATAAAATAAAAATGCGGTTTTTATTATCAATTTGAAGCTAAAGTTTGAAAATTTCTATGCAAATGTCATAGCAAAAAGCAACTCCATAAAAAAAATTAGATTTTCGGAGATTTTACCGAATTTCACTTTTATTAAAAAACTGTATTCATTTGATTCAAAGCTAAAATTATATTTATATCTTTTAATAATGAATTGGGAGATTTTCTCTATTAAGCCTTTAATAAATAATTATGTCTTCGTTTTAATGAAATAATTATTTTATTCAATTAATCTCCAATAAAATTTCTCTTTTCTCTTATATTAATAAGAGAGAAGATTAAATTTTTTGAATTTAATTATGAAGTCCGAATTATATAATACTGTCTATTTTCAGTACTACTGCGAGCATTGCTGGGCAACTATTCACTCCCGGCCAGGTCGGGAGTTCCACAAGCCGCTGGTGAAGGAGGGCGCGGATCGGCCTCGGGCCGTGCCTTTCCGTTGGTGTTAACCCCAGCTGCGTTGTCCCTAATTATCTCGCAGCCCTAGCTAATTAACTACCACCTCTACCAATATCTCCCCACCCTCCCCTCACGTGCCCCAACCAACCCTCACTTCCCTCCGCCTCCCATATTACTTACTTACTTACCTACAACAAGAACACAGCCTCAAAACTGCTACTACTACTACTACTATTACTACCACCACTCGATCGTTACGTACTATCACTACTCTACTCTACTACCACTATTATTACTATTACTACTACTACCACAACTACTATTCTACTACAAATTATTACTACTACTACTACTACTACTACTACTATTACTACTACTACTCCACTGCTACTACTTCAAGTTGTACCGGTTATACTGGAGGAAGAAACCAGCCGCTGTTGCCCGCCAATCGATGCAGGCTCTTGGCGTTATTCCGATCTTCGACCTCGCATCCATAACGACTTGCTAACGGTCACTGATATCATCGTCGGGTAAAACTATGCCCATCTAGATGACTTTGCCGAACCGGAAACGGATCTTGCACCCGACGAAGGCGCCGGAAGGCAGCCAAGAAAAGAGGGAATGATCGGATCCACGCCAAGCCGATATCGTCGAGCCAAAAAAACGAAGAAAAAAATGAAGAAAAATACACGCCGAGACACAGGATTCAGAAGAGAAATTGACACGGATTCTCAGTATATCGATTACTCGTACACGTATAATCCTATCTGTCTGCGCTGTAAAATGCACCGGTTCTGTCCGAAAGATCGAGTATTGTTAGTTACCGCGAGTCTCGAGGAGCGAGCAAGCGAGGAAGGGGCTGCCGCTGTCGTCGCCGCCGACTTCGTGTACGCACCCAGCGCCAATTGTCGGCACCAATCCTCCTCGAGTGTTTACCGAAATCACCGGCAGCGCGATTGCGATACGGATCCGCCTTGTGCTTGCGTCTCGTTCTACCGCGGATCACCCCTTCCAAGTTCGACTGCCGCATGCCGCGAGAAGGAAGGAGTTTCTTCCCGTATCGTCCATCCCGATCGAGCGAGATTTTGATTTTGCGAAGCGCGACCCGGATGGACGTTGGTGGAAGCGATTTCTCGACAAACGGGGCTCGTGTTTTCCCACCGACATCGTCCATTTGGACGAAAGCCCGAACGAAAACCCGCGCTCCCGAGCGACGTAGTGATTCCCGCGCGACGAATGTTCGTAAGAACAAACGCGAGTACCTGATCCGACGCGAAAGTGTGTTGCCAGAGTGAGCGAGTGAGAGTGGAAGAGCATGCGAGAAAGAAAGAGATGAGGAAAGAATGAGGGGGTGATAGTGGAAGCAGTGACATCGAGAAAAGACGCGTAGGTGATGAGGGCCGGTGGGAAATCTGGAAGAGGGTAATAGGGAGAGAGGATAGAGATGATATAAAGAGAGTGACAAATCGTCCGCATTGGATGTTAATCAGTAATGAAAAAAGCCACGCTTCAACCTGCTGTGTAGGTAATTCTCTGTATCACAAACCCAAAACACACACATACACACACACATTCGTACAAACATGTACACATATACACAGTTTTCTAGTTATTAAGAACTTATTAAAAATATGTTACATAGGTGCGTTGTGTAATGCGTTTCTTGTACGGATAACGCAACCGCGCGCTCATAGCGAAGCATTCGACAAAATGATTTTTTACTAATTAACTTATTCAAGTGAGAAGAAAATAACGCGTAGATGAAAACATAAAAGAAACATAAATAAGGGAACTGAAAGTTTAGGGAGAATAGGTGTCATACGGGTGACGGAAGGAGAGGTAAACGGAAATCGAAGTAATTTAATTTTTCGATCGCGAACGGCTGTATATGACATCGTGGCGGCGTGCTCCAGATTGTCCAGGTTAACATCCGCAGTGCCGAGTTCTCTACCAATTTTCTTTTCCAAAAACCGATGTGAGTTACCTTCACGAACCTTCGCGCGAGAAACGAAGGGATTGCGAAGTCGAGCCCGCGAAAAGGAAAAAGGCCCGCTACTCGCTCGTGGGGAACGCTGAGGATCGAGGGTTGCTGCTATCGCCGTCGATGACGAATTTTACATTTTGACTTTATTATTACTACTACTATGTGCAATATAAACGGTCACTCTTCGTGATTTTCGCTGACGAGAATGATCGGCAATACGCTAAGCGTATTTTCGGAATGCGACGTGGGCGCGATTTCCCTCCTCCTCGAAAATGTTCGATAGTAAACACGGAATGTCCGCGAACATCCGCGTCTGAACTCGTACATCCCTCTTCTTCGCGAAACGAGCGGTGTACCTCGCAGATCCTTTTTTGTGGCGAAACGATCTCGCGCTCGACTTCGCGGAAGATAAAGAAAAGAGACGCTTGTGCAAAACGGAACGCAAAGGGGGTGGTGTCGTTTCTCGAAACCAAAGTAGCGATAGAAACCGTGATTCGCGGAATACCGGAGCAGCGTGTTATACATAGAATGATTGTATCTAATTATTCTCTTCATACGTCCGATAGATGATTTGCAAGAGTGTGCGGCGCGTCTTGAGGGGGTCGCGTTTCGCGCGGAACATTATTATAGATTCATACATTATATATATATATACATATATATATATATGTATATATATATATATACATATAGAGAATGCCGCATGTTGTCCACTCCTGTACATACATACTGATCCCTCTCCCTAACCAATTAATCAATTAACCGGCGTTTATTAATCGCGACCGCGAGTGTGCACGTTTTCTTAATCCCTTCAAAATGAAATGGACTTCTTCGCTGGGTGTATATAATCAAACGCAATCGCCGTAGTTCAAGTAAAAGGATAAAAGGAAAAAAATGGAAAAGGAGGGGGGGAGAGAAAAGAATTCACTTTTCGCCGAGGCGTAGGATTTCTATTCCCGAAGGATTTATAGTATAGGGAGAGTCTTGTGGTTGGCAGATAGTAGGACCTCTGTAAATTTTAAGCATGACGCTTCCTAACGCTCGTCCTTTTAGCAAATGCGACGGTGATCCCGGCAAAGTTTAATCGACGATTTTTCGACGCGTTTTATCGAAAGCAATTTCTCAGTGGCACCGCCACTCGTCTCTCATTTGACAATATCTTACAATACGTAACATAGGATACTTTTGATAACTCTGTAGTAGAGGAGGCAGGCTTAAGCGCTAATACCGGACATTCGTCACCTCCCAGTGACTCTTTTGTTGTGCAAAAAAAGGCGTGTCTTTTCACAATACTTCCGACAATAGCCGGATTGTTTCTTCGCGAGACGGCCGAAAGGTTGTGGGGCTGGGAAGCGTCGTACTCGAAATTAGTATGCGTTGTGTGTTCCGCTTCGTAGATGACAAAAAAAAAACCATATTCTGAACGTAGCAGCAGCAGCAGCAGTCGGAAGACATAGTTTAAACCTCGCATGACGAGTCTCTCTCGCGATACTCTTCTTCTATCGCACACGTATCGGACTTTGTACAATTCGCGACACACATAAACACACAGACACACGAGAGCACACAGCACAGGCGATTATACGACCGAGATGATACATCCGTATTTGTGTACGGATTTAACGAGGGAAGGGACAAAAAGAAATAATCCTTTATGTATATATATATATATATATATATATATATATATATATATATATATATATATATATACACATATATATTTATTTTTTTGGTACTCCTTTTTGTATATATATATATATGATATATCTTGTCTCGCCGCGTGTAGAGATGATAAAAATATGTCGCCCGGTGGCGTTTATTAGAGCACCGTACGAGAGGGAATTATTATTAGGCGGATGCTGTATGACGGAAGTCGCAGTAAAAGAGGCGTTCAACGACGATCCTCCGTCCCTTCGTCTGAGACACACCGTTCGGCCCGCGAAAACACGAGGACACGTGTGTGGTGTGGTGAAGGGGGAGAAAAATTAATAAATCCAATATGATAGAGCGGATGAGGAAGAAACGAGTTCTCATTGCCGGCCCTCTTTGACTCGCGTTCTCAATTAAGATGGATTTAGGTTCGTATCTGATCGAAACGCGGGCAAAATTTTAGATAAATTAGGTAAACGAGTAAAAACCAAGGGACATGTGTAGAAAAGAGTCGCCCGCGCGACCAAAGGTTTTCGGATAAAGGAAGAAGATGGGCAAACACTAGCATGTTATTGTATACATAAATTAGTAGAGTGAGTACATTAAATTTTTCTATCCGTTGCTATCTCGCAGTAATTCTCAAACAGACACGATCGACTTTTTCTTACGCATTTAACGGAAGCCCAGAATTGTTTCGATCAAGAGGAAAGAATCGGCTGGAGAGAGAAGAGAGGATTGATGTGGAATGGAGAACGGATACCGTGAGAATGAGAAAAACTTAAAAAAGAGACGCGAAGAAGGGAGAGGGGCACAATGAGAACGTGAGCATTAGTTAGTGCAATTTTACATACAAGTCACCATTCTTGTAAGTCGAACGAAAGAGAGAGAGAGAGGAGAGAAAGAAAGAGCGAGAGTGAGAGTGAGAGAGAGAGAGAGAGAGAGAGAGAGAGAGAGAGAGAGAGAGAAAAAGAGAGAGTGGCATAATCCGTGCGGCACACACGGGCAATAAATAAATTAAAACGCGGGCCGCGATCGGGCATATCCGTGTTGTTATCGCGGGTAAATTTATATATGTATATGTATATGAGAAAATCGCCGGCGTGCTCGTGCGCACGGCCGTGCACGTGTGGAAATCACGCGCGTGTGCGCGCGAAACCGGCTCATATATTAGGCGAAAATTTTTCTCAATCCACATACTTCGCGAGCATGGAGCACGCGTCGTCGACAGACGCTCACACACTCGCTATACACACACACACACACACACACACAACACACACGCGCACACACACACACACATGCACACTAATCGATCGATATAATTGTGTAGCGAAACTTACCTAGGTACCAATTCACCTAAATCAATTGATAACTAAAAATATTACTTGAGCAAGCGAGTACTTGGACAAGGACCGAGACCGATTTTTCTAGACAAATTTTTCTATAATGTTCAAAAAACGGATAAAAACGTGCGAAAAAAAAGGATAGGCAAGCGAGAGGAAGGAGGACAGGACGTGTCGTCCCCGTCGCGGAGAACGTCACTTCGGAACCTGTTTCGGG